CCATTCTCGAGCGCGGCCCCTTTTCCGCGACTGACGAAGGTGAAATTCCCGAAGAGCCTGGAATCGTGCAGCTTGCCAGACTTCATGCGCCCCCGTGACCTCTGAAAGTCTTGGGAAATGTTGCGTGCGTCCAGCACGGGTGTTGCGGGCTCTCTTGGAGGTTTTACCCATTTTGCCAGGTGAGCAGGAACCAGGACCAAGGCCAACCGAGGCCACTTGATGCCTAAGTACGTTGTTGGCCTCTGGATCCGAGAATGTGATATATGAAGCCTCCGTTGCATACATGGTAGATGTAGGCACTTGTACCACGAAGACGACCGAGATGCGTAGTTTTCGATGTGCCCCAAGAAGTGCAAGATAACGTGATCGATCTGCTACAGGTTGTCCATTGCTACATTTACGTGTGCTCTTCATGTGCTTTTTCACGCGTGCTACTGCTCCAGTTTGCTTGCCTGTACTGCGGGTAATTTGTCCTTGTCCTATATAGCGCGCATGGTCCCCCCCAATTGGTACACAAACGACTGTTTACGCATGCGCGGCGTGGATACACCCAAAATACTGTCAATATGTAGACCAAGAAAACCCGGCATGTGTAATACATCAACGAACAATGCCAAACCCGAGCGAGAGAGAGCATGCTGTAGTGCGACAGGGAGAACGTGAACATATCTCTGAGCAACTCGGCGTTGTCGTCTGCCTTGTGTCCACATCTGTCGTACCCGAAGAGTGTAACGTGCGGTCATCAATGTCATATACATACTATTAAAGTGCATCGTGGCCAATGCGTCATCAACGGAAAACCATTCAGCGAGATCCTCCAATGCAGCTTCAAGCAGCTGAACGGAATCTGCAGAAGGCTGGTGGTGAGAGAGCTGCCATAGGGTCCCGAGCATGAACCTTTCGATGACTTCTAGCGCACGTGTAGCTGGCAATCGACTGTCTCCGACTCGAAGAGGGACATGAAGGGGAGCAACTCATGAGACAAGCTTCACCATGCGTTGCTCACAAATCGTCTCAACGGCGCCTTGGGGGAGACTCCGAAGGGAAACTGTATCTTGCATCATGGTTCGCAAGCTTGCATCTGCTGCTGCGCTGATCGTACATGTGGGTGTGACCCCGGATGGAACCATTCCGATCAGCATGACCAGCAGCAAACGTCGAACTACGAGAGGGTGTGATATGAACTGTCGCGAGTGCGGTACAGCACGGCTACGAGCCCCCCACCTCCACTCCATCGCGTACACATCGTGAAGAGTAATTGATATGTCAATCAGAACCTCTGAAACCCAAAGATAAAACTGTTCAGCTCTAGTTATCCATGGCGTCGGAAATGCCGAAAGGCTTTGTACGGTACGTACTGTTACAAAAGAGTGGTCAGGGTCAAACGTTCATGAGCACCACCTGCAAACGTGACTCCCGTTGCACATATGTGCAACCTTCTGAGAGACATGGCTGCAGACACAAGTGGCATTAGCAATAACAGCGTGCACAAGCATGCAAAGACAAGGCGGCGAAGGCTGCTATAGACGTGGATGGCGTGGACGTGCACCGAGCCCGTGGCCTGCCCCGCACGCAGGCACAAACAACAATAATATCATGATATTAAAGTGTGAAAAAACACACACACACACACACACACACACACACACACACACACACGTGGGTCCCTATCGCGCCAGAACGGAAGAAGCGTCAAAACACGTGGCGAATGAGCGTGACAATAGATGGGTCGTTTAAACAAGCGCGAAAACACGTGGGTCCCTTTCGCCACAGGAGGCCTCCCCAGGAGGCCGCAGGAGGCCTCCCCAGGGCCCCAGAACGGAACGCGTCCAGTTATTACACATCTGGTGTCGACTCGATAATTTGTTCTGAAGTTTTGGCCCCCTTGTCTGAACCCCCCCACACACTTTTGGGGGGCAGACGACCATGTGTTAGACCTCCCTTCTTGGCTGGCCCGGACACATGACAACACGCGGGTTTTTTCCGCCCAAGAGCGGAACAATCGTGAAAGCACGTGGGTCCCCTTCGCGCCAGAACGGACGAAGCGTGAAAACACGTGGGCCACTTTCGCGCCACAGAGGAATAAGCGTGACAACACGTGGGCCCCTTTCGCACCAGAGCGGGACAAGCGTGGAAACACGTCGGCCCGTTTTCGCGACTGCGCAGAACAAGCGTGAAAACACGCGGGTCCCCTTCGCCCCAGAGCAGAACAACCGTGAAAACAAGTGGGCCCCTTTCGCGCCAGAGCGGAACAAACGTGAAAACGCGTGGGCCCCTTTCGCCCCAGAGCGGAACAAGCGGGACAACACGTGGGTCCGCTTCGCCGCAGGAGGAGGCCGCAGGAGGCCTCCGCAGGGCCCTAGAATGGAACGTGTCAAGTTATCACATATCAAGGGTCGATTCGTGATGTTTGTTCTGGCTCGTGTGACCCTCCCCCGTCTAGAGGGCCAGACGACCACATGTTAGATATCCCCCCCTGGGTGGCCCAGACACGTGAAAATACGTGGGTCCCTCTCGCCCCAAAGCGGAAGAAGCGCGAACGCACGTGGGTCCCTTTCGCGCCAGAGCGGAACGAGCGTGAAAACATGCGGGTCCTTTTTCGCGCCAGAGCGGAACAAGCGTAAAAACATGCGGGGCCCTTTCGCGCCAGAGCAAAGCAAGCGTAAAAACACGTGGGCCCATGTCGCGCCTGAGCGGAACAAGCATGAAAACACGTGGGTCCTTGTCGCGCCAGAGCGGAAAAATCGTTAAACCAATAGGTCCCTTCCGCCCCAAAGCGAAACAAGGGTGAAAGCCCGTGTGTCCCTTGCAACACAAAACGGAGCAAGCGTGAAACACTTGGGCCCTTGTCGCCCCAAAACGGAACAAGCGTGAAGAATATATTTGTCCCTTTTCGCCCCAGAGCGGAACAAGCGCGACAAAATATGGATCCGTTTCGCGCCGGAGCGAAACAAGCGCGAAAACACGGGGGTCCCTCTCGCCCCAAAGCAGAACAAGCGAGAGAAAATCATGGGTCCCTTTCGCGCCTGAGCGGAACAAACGTGAGAACAAGTGGGTCCCTCTCGCCCCAAGGCGGAACAAGCGGGACAACACGTTGGTCCCTTTCGCCACAGGAAGCCTCCCCAGGAGGCCGCAGAAGGCCTCCCCAGGGCCCCAGGACGGAACGTGTCAAGTTATTACACATATGGTGTCGACTCGTTAATTTGCTCTGGTTCTTGTAACCCCCCCCACACTTATGGGGGCCAGACAAACATGTGTTACATATCGCTTCCTGGGTGGCCAGGACACGTGAAAACACGTGGATCTTTTTCGCCCCAAAACGGAAGAAGCGTGAACGCACGCGGGTCCTTTTGGCCCGAAGCGGAACAAGCGTGAAAGCACGTGGGTCCCTTCCGCCCCAGAGCGAAACAAGCGTGAAACCCCGTGTGACCCTTGCGACACAAAACGGAGCAAGCGTGAAAACACGCGGGTCCCTTTCACGCCAGAGCGGAACAAGCGTGAAAACAGTGGGCCCCTTCCGCCCCAGAGCGGAGCAGGCGTGAAAACACGTGGGGCCTTGCCACATCGGAATAAACGTAAAAACACGTGGGCCCCCTGTTCGCGTCAGAGCGGAACAAGCGTGAAAACACGTGCGGCCCTCTCGCCCCAAAGCGGAAGAAGCGCGAACGCACGTGGGTCCCTTTCGCGCCAGAGCGGAACGAGCGTGAAAACATGCGGGTCCTTTTTCGCGCCAGAGCGGAACAAGCGTAAAAACATGCGGGGCCCTTTCGCGCCAGAGCAAAGCAAGCGTAAAAACACGTGGGCCCATGTCGCGCCTGAGCAGAACAAGCATGCAAACACGCGGGGTCCTCTCGCCCCAAAGCGGAACAAGTGGAAAAACACGTGGGTCCCTTTCGCGCCAGAGCGGAACAAGCGTGAAAACACGTGGGTCCTCGCGGCCCCTGAGCGGAACAAGCGTGAAAACACATGGCTCCCGTTCGCGCCGGAACGGAAGAAGCGTGAAAACACGTAGGTCCCTTTCGCGCCAGAGCGGAACAAGCGTGAAAACACAGTGGTCCCTTTCGCCCCAGAGCGGAACAAGCGTGAAAACACGTGGGTCCGTTTCGCCCCAGGGCGGAAGAAGAACAAGCGTGAAAACACATGGGTCCCTCTCGCCCCAGAGCGAAATAAGCGTGAAAACTCCTGGGTCCGTTTCGCCCCTGAGCGGAACAAGCGTGAAAACACGTCGGGCCCTTTCGACCCAGAACGGAACAATCGTGAAAACGCATGGCTTCAGCTCGGGGCAGCCATATTAGATACCCCTCTGAGTGGCCTTGACAAGTGAAAACATGTGGTTCCAGCGAGGGGCACAGTGCAACAGTGCAACCACCTTAGATAACCCGCTGGGTGGCCTGGACACGTGAAACCGCGTGGCTCCATCTGAAGAACGACAACCATATTAGAGACCCCCCTGGGCGACCTGGGCATTGTTCAAACACTTCGCCTGAGATATCCCCTGGAATTCTGTCCCCCGCTCGAGATATCCCCCAACTATGCAAAACCAGCGCCTCACCTAAGGCATCCTCGATAAACTTGTATAGAACACGCGTTCCACCTGAGACATCCTCCGACTTTGTTTTTCGCCGGCCCTGCGCGACATCGTCATATCGCTAAATAAATACGCTGGCCCTACGCAAGTTGAGGCCCGGCACGAGGTTTACCTACGAAAAGAGAACCCTGGGCTGGCGCCCTTTCTGGGAAAATGGCAACCCCTGGATCTCAGGGTAAAGTAAATCACCGTCTTCACAGACGTGTTGATTTCTTCGATGCGGGGCCCACAGAAGTCTCACCCCCTTCCCCAAGGCTGGTTCTTCGCCCCAAGTCGCTCCGTGGCGGTCCCAGGGCCCAGCGGTCTCGGGGCCCCGGGGGCCGAAAAAACGGCGGCGAACCTCCGCCTTGATTTTCCTCCGGATTCTGTATGTCTGGGTGTACATCGCCCCCTTCCCATCGCGCCGAAGAGCCTTCGCGAGCGCCTGCAGCGCCACGGCCGCGTCCTTCGCGGTGAGCGCCGCCGCGCCGGCCCCGAGGACGCCTGCCGCCGCGGCCGCGGTCCACCAGTCCAGGGGCCGCTGCCTGCCGCTTCCGAGGGCGGGCGGAGGGCGCGCGGCAGAGAAGCGCAGCCCCAGACAAGCTCGTGTCGAGAAAGAAGTAACAAAAATTGACGGGAGGTTCTTCCTCGTTCTCGGCCTCCAGGGGCCCTCGCTGGGCCCCGGGGAGCTCAGGACGAGAAACCGGCCCTGGGGAGAGTGTCGGGGCTTCCCAGGACCCCGCATTAAAAAAATCAGGACGCCGAATGAAACGCTTTCCGCGGCCACCCTCCTCCTGCTTCCGCTTTTTGCTGCCACCTGGCTAACTTGTACGCCACGCGCCCCGGGCTGCTAGAGCACGCGGTCGGATCGCCTATGCCGCGCTGCGACGTAAGAGAAATGTCTGGGGAGAGGCGCAGGCTACCTCTCAGACGTCGTCACCGCGGCCCCCTCGGCGCAATGACGCCCCTCGGCGCCGCGCCACAGATCGATCCAGCTCGACAGTCCCGGGGCCGCTTTCTGCCGCCGGCGAGGAGGCGGGCGGAGAGCGCGCGGGAGCGAGGCACAGGCGGCGCCTCAGCCGTCCCCAAATCTCCAGCGTATCGACGGAATATATGTTTGTGATATGAGTATGTGTGTATGTGTATGTGTATGTGTATGTGTGTGTATGTGTATGTGTATGTGTATGTGTATGTCTATGTGTATGTGGTATGTGGTATGTGGTATGTGGTATGTGGTATGTGGTATGTGGTATGTGGTGTGTGGTGTGTGGTATGTGGTATGTGGTATGTGTATGTGGTATGTGGTATGTGGTATGTGGTATGTGGTATGTGGTATGTGTATGAGTATGTGTATGTGTATGTGTATGTGTATGTGTATGTGTATGTGTATGTGTATGTGTATGTGTATGTGTATGTGTATGTGTATGTATATGTGTATGTGTATGTGTATGTGTATGTGTATGTGTATGTGTATGTGTATGTGTATGTGTATGTGTATGTGTATGTGTATGTGTATGTCTGTATGTACGTGTGTGCATGTACGTGTGTATATGTGTAAAATGTATGTCAAATGTGCATATGCATGTGTGTGGGATTGAATATGCGCCTGCTTTCAAACATACAAGCGTTAATACATCATACATACATACATACATGCATACAGACAGACAGACGGGCAGACAGACAGACAGAAAGACAGACAGACAGACAGACAGGCATGCACACACATACATACATACATGCATGCATGCATACATACATACATACATACGTACATACATACATACATGGATATTTACATGCGCAAATGCATGCATGCATGCATGCATGCATATATACACGTGTACATACATACACACATGCACACATACACACATGCACAAGTACACACGTACACACATGTACACATACATGCATGAATGCATAGATACATACATACGTACATGCGTGCACCAATACATTCATGCATACCTACATTACGTACGCTGCATACATGCATACATACACATATACATACATACATACATAGATGCAGGCATGCATACATATACATACATACATACATGCATACAAGCATGCATACATGTATACACATATACATTCACACATGCACACATGCATGCATGCATGCAAGCATGCATACATGCATACATACATACACACCTACACGCAGACACACACACACACACACACACACGCACACACACACACACACGCGTACACATAGTCACATGCACACATAAACACATGCACACATACACACATACATCCATCCATACATGCATACATACATACAGTCATACATACACACACATACGTGTTGCGTCGGCGGCTAGGCAGAGTGACTGCGCTGGCGGGACAAGCAGGTGCTACACACATACACACATACACACATACACGCATGCACACATACACACGTTTACACATGCATACATAGATACATACATACATACATGCATGCGTACATACATACATGCATACGTGCGTACATGCATACATACATACATACAAACCAACACACCTATGCGCACATACACATTACCACATACACGCATGAACACATACACCTATACACATACACACATAAAACAGAGTGAGGGGGCCGAACGGTTATTCATTGTCCCTGGGTGCCTCTCTGAAGATAGGATCCGTGGTGAGGAGTCTGCTTGTTGCGTTGTTGTTGTTGTTTGGTGTCGTCGTCCCACACAGACATACATACATACATGCATGCATACATACATACGTACGGACATACATTGGTACGACCCGCTACAGACATACATAACTACATGCATACATACATACATGTGTACATGTTTACATGCATACATACATAGACGCATGCACACATACGCACATACCTATCTATCTATATATATATATATATATATGTGTACCTATGCGACCACCCTTCGGGTGATAAGGAGGTTTGGGGGGGAGGGAACCAACGTCTTACTCAATCGGTCTCACTATCGATCTCACTATCGATCTCACTATCGATCTCACTATCGGTCTCGCTCGATCGATCTCACTCGATCGATCTCGCAAACGACCTCACTCGATCAATTTCATTCGATCGATCTCACAATCGATCTGACTATCGATCTCACAATCGATCTCACTATCGATCTCACTATCGATCTCACAATCGATCTCACATTCGGTCTAACTATCGATCTCACTATCTATATCACAATCGATCTCACAATCAACGTCATCATCATCATCATCATCATCAATATCATCGTCATCAACGTCATCAACATCGTCATCATCATCATCATCATCATCATCATCATCATCACCATCATCATCATCATCATCATCGGGTCACCATCATCCTCATCACCTCGCCACCATCATCATCATCATCATCATCACCATCATCATCATCGGGACACCATCATCGTCACCACCATCATCATCAACATCATCATCGGGACACCATCCTCATCATGGGAGCACCACCATCTTCATTATCACTATCATCATCATCATCATCATCATCATCATCATCATCATCATTATCTCGTCATCATCATAAACTACATACTCAATATCATCATCATCGGGACACCATCATCATTAGCAACATCACCGTCACCATCATCATAATCACCATCGTCATCATCATCCTCATCATCATCATCGGGACACCATCATCACCGTCACCATCATCATAATCACCATCGTCATCATCATCCTCATCATCATCATCGGGACACCATCATCATCATTAACATCAACATCATCATCAACATCATCATCATCATCATCACCATCATCGGGCAACCATCATCAAAATCATCATCACCTCATCATCATCCCCATCATCAAAACCATCATCATCTGGACACCATCATCGTGATGAACATCATCAACATCATCATCGGGACACCATCATCATCACCATCAGCATTAACAGCATCATCATCAACCTCATCATCATCATCATCGGGAAACCACCAGCATCATCACCATCTTCTTCATCATCATCATCATCATCATCATCTCATCATCATCCACATCATCAGGATCATCAACATCATTATCATCATCGGGACAACATCAGCAACATCAGCAACATCATCATCATCAACATCATCATCATCGGGACACCAGCATCATCACCACCATCATTATCATTATCATCATCAACATCGTCAACATCATCATCGTCATCGGGACACCATCATCATCACCACCATCACCATCATTATCATCATCAACATCATCATCATCAACATCATCAACATCATCATCATCATCCGGACACCGACGGGACACCGTCGGGACACCGGCGGGACACCGCGCCCCACCGGACGCCGAAGGGAGTCATTTGGTCCGGCCGCGCCTCAGCCACAGCGGGACACCAGCGGGACACCGCGCCCCACCAGACGCGGGAAGGGAGTCATTTGGTCCGGCCGCGCCTCAGCCACAGGAGACTTTCTTCTCGCCCGCCCACACAGCTTCGCCTCGCCCGCACGCACGGCACGCACGAACACGAAACCGAAACCGATTCCCCGGTAGGGGGGCTCTCCGTTCCACTTCGATCTCACCCCCTCACCTCCGATCTACATGCATACACAGATACATACGTACATACATGCATGCATGCATCCATCCATACATGCATACATACGAACATGGATGCATGCATTAATGCATATATACATACATACATACATACATACATACATACATACATACAGACAGACAGACAGACAGACAGACAGACAGACAGACAGACAGACAGACAGACAGACAGACAGACAGACAGACAGACAGACAGACATTACATACATTACATACACTACATTCAGCACATTCATTACATTCACTACATACATTACATACATACAGACATACATGCATTACATACATACATACATACATACATACATACATACATACATACATACATACATATATACATACATACATACATACATACATGCATGCATACATACATACATACATACATATAGACATACTTTACATTATATGACATTACATTACATTCCATTCCATTACATTACATTACATTACATTACAGTACATTACATTACATTACATTACATTACATACATACATACATACATGCATACACACACATACCTACATACATACATACATACATACATACATACACATACATGCATACATACATGCATGCATGCATGTATACATACATACATACATACATACATACATACATGCATGCATGCATGCATGCATGCATATATACATACATACATACGTATTTACATACATACTTACATACTTACATACTTACATACATGCATAAATGTATACATACACACATACACACATACCTACATACGTACATACAAACATACACATCTACACACATACGCATATACATCGAATCACCTACACACATGAACACATACAAACATACATACATACATGCATACATGCATGCAAGCATACGTATATATGTATATACATGTACGTACGTATATATACATACAAACATATATACATACATATGAACACACATACAAATATACGACGAGACAATTAAACAAGCAAACAAACAAACACACAAACAAACAATCAAACACACGATCGAACAAAAAAAAACGCAATCGATATAAATATGTGTGTGGAAGAAGAAGAAAACAAAAAAACGCGGCCCCTGCAGCCCCGCCGGGCACGGCGGGGGGCCAGAGGCCGAGGACGGCGCTGCGCCCAGCAGTGGGGTGCAGCCCCAAATCTGCTTTTGTCCCACTGCTGGGCGGTTCTTCTTCGGCGTCGGCCCGCTTTGGCGGCGCCCACGAGGGGGTGGCGCGAGGGGGGGGCGGAGGGGATGCTGGGGGGGAGCAGCGAAGCTGGCTGGTCGGCGCGGAAGACGGGGGGGGCGCACGCACGCGGGACGAAAAATTGCATGGTGGAAGGGTCGCAGGGCTGCTGCGAGGAGCGGGGCTGCTGGTCGAGACGGCATGGGTGTGCCGCGCCGTGCGCACGCGAGGAACAACAACCATCGGGGCGGAGGGAGGCACAGGGATGCCAGGAGAGAAGGGAGGGGCGGGGCGGGGCGGGCTGTGTCCGGGCGGAGGGGAGGTACAGTGCCGCGCGCGCCCGCGGAATACATGGGTTTTGGGCGGAAAGGGCGCGGGGCCGCTGGGAGGAGCCGAGCGCGACAAGGTCGGGGCGGAGCGCACGCAGGGCTGCTGGGAGGAGGGGTCGTGCGCGGGCGCGCGGGCACGCGGGTGGAATTCGCCAGCGCCTTCGGGACTTCGTTGGCGTGTGAGACGGGTGTCCCTCCCCAGGCCCCTTCCCCAGGAGCCGGGTCCGGCCGGTTTGGGGCGAGAGGGGTCTGAACCGACGGGCCTGGCAGACCCATCTGGGGCCAGCGGGAGCGGCTGTCCCCCCAGCAATACTGGCCAGCGTGGGCACAAACCTCTTAGCTGGGCGCACCGAGCATCAACTTGAACCCGCCCGGCACCTCTGCTGGAGCACGTCGGGGGGGAGGTCGTCCAGCATGTCGTTGGGACGATCACCTAGATACGTACTCGCTCGCACAATCTGGAGAGACATAGTACGTCGTTGCTCGAGACCGGAGGAAGCGACGTGCGCAGGCTGAGGGCTACGCAGAAGCACAAAACTTTCCGAGTCCAGCTCAGCACGTAAATCTTCAACCGCCCATAAAGGATGTTCAACTCTCTGCCCACGTCCGCTTGCGGACGGACCGTTTCGCTTCGACCAGGTATTGCTTGCTTGCTTGCTTGCTTGCTAAGTATCCAGGAAGAAGACGGGTGAGAAGGGCGAGTGGTCACAGCATTGTCCGAAACCAGCATAATTGAGCGATACAGGCCATGTCATTCATTACGGTTATTGCTGGCGGCATTTTCAGGACTGTTAAGGCCTTGCCCCAGGTTGCCCCGGGTAATTCCACGAGAGGGTTGAGAGCTCGTCCTCATCCTTGAACCTCCTCATCCTCCTCCCCCCCTCCTCTTCCTCCTGCCCTCACCCTCCTCCTTCCTCCTCCCGCCTTCGTCCTCCCCTTGCCTCCCTTCCGTTCCGCAACAGTTTGGAGGGTGCCGTTTAACTAAATGTCTGGTGCACGGGTGGGGAAACGGCGCCATTCCTCCTCCACCCCTCTCCTTCCCCGCTCCTCCTTCCTTTGCCCACTCCTCTTTGCCCTGACCCTGAATGTCAACCACGATGGGCGCGTGCAACCACCGCGCTACCCAGGGCGGTGGCACCAGGAAACTGGACCCATCAACGTGTGGACGCAAGTGAGGCGCCCCAAAGCCATCACTTCAGGACTGCCTCCGCACCGTCTTCGGGCCACAGGCTCGAGCCGCTGGCGGCGGTTCGAGACGACTCTGGCGCGCCCGGGCGCCTCTCGACGGGGCTCGGCTGAAACAGAGAGCACCCCGGAGCCCAGGAGCCTCCAACACGCATCCAACTCTCCGCAGACCTCAGATATCTGTCCTCGGTCCTCCCCCCTCCCTGCCCTTCCATGGAGGTATTTTGTCACAGCCTAGCGCCTGTAGAGCTCTCCTATCGCTCCAATCTGGCGCGCAGCTTCGCAGAAGCCTGCTGCAATCAAGAAATCCCTCCATCTCTCCCATAAGACCCGACGTCACGAAGAAATGCAACAGAGCAAAATATCACGACCAGAACCTTGGACCGAATCTTTCTGCGGAATGTTTCAGACTAGATCGATCTGTGATGGCCCCGGGGCCCGAAACCCGACGATATCGCACGTAGTGGAAGAATACCACGCCCGGGTCTCAGGGGCCCTCCATCCCTCCCACCTGCATCGAGGGCGACCAAGAGGAGGGCGTCCAAGAGGGAGGTTGCAAATCATGGCCCGAGGCGCGCGCAGCAGGTGACGTACTGAAATAAGCAGAGGGGGCCATGAAATCTGCGGAGCCACCCCCAGCCATCGACCCCGTTTTGTCGGGGACACGCAAACATGGATTAGCGATCCATGGATTTGGCGCGCGGTCGACAAATCCATGGATCGGGGGAGGTGCCCTCCCAAAAATGCGGCCGCTGCCGCCTCGTTCGGCGGCGGGAATCCGCGATGCCCCATGAAAACGGGGCCCGTCGCTAATCCACGCCACCCTAATCCATGTGTGCGATCGCCTGATTTTGGCCGCCCTCGGCAGCGAGCAGTCCGGCCCATCGCCGCCGCCCCCCAGCGGCCTGCACGCCCACTGCAGGTCGCGCACGGCTTTCCTCGCGTCCGCCCCGGCGCCTGGCGTGGGGCCAGCCTCCTGGGGAGGCGGGAGCGCGGGGCCGCCGCTGCCCAGATTCTTGTTGCCGCGGCGCCGGCGACCCTGAGATCCTAGCGTCGCCTTCTATCACAACGGGCGTTGCCGCCAGGTTTGGGGCCCAGGGGCCCTCACACATCGGTCTGGCTCGGCAAGCGCCTCAGAAAGATGGAGCCAGGGGCTCCAGTCGGGAGTTTTCGCGGCGGTGTGTTTTTCCCCAACGTCGGATCTCAGGGTGGGTGACGGCGCGGTCGAAGCGTACAGCAGAATCTTTTCGTGAGGACCTGCGCGTTGGCTTCTGGCACCGCTTGGAATTCATTCAACCTTCAACGATCGGCGGCTTTTCGATCGCCAAATCGCCAGGTCGCTCCACGCTGGCCGATTCTAGGCCACTGGCGGCGTTCAACATTTAACACCCGCTCTGGGGTCGACGCCGCGTCGGCACGACATGCCACCTACGGGGTCGCGGATGAGGGCGGCCGCGGCCCCCACACATCCAGCGCGAGGAGAAAACGTGATCGACCCACGAACCCGGAAAGGAGTACAGAAATGTAAGGCATGGCAACATTTCGAAGACACCTGATTGGGCGACGGGCAAATGCAATGCTGAAAGTATCGATCTTGATGTACCGTGCCGAGGGCTGTGCTGTTCTGCGCCGTGCTGAACTACGATGTGCCATGCTGCGATTGTGCTCTATAGCGTTGTGGATCAAGTCCTCCTCTGTATCCGAGTCCTGACCGAACTGATCTGGAACTTAAGCTCGAGCTGCCTGGGCAAATAATAGGTGCCCCAGAGCTAATTGACAGGGAGACATGATCGGAGGACGCGCCGCGGAACGTCCCCAGGGACGCGCCATGCGACGTGCCAGGGGAAATGCCATGCGGACGCACCGCTGGACGTGCCAAGGGGACGCGCTACGGAACGTGCCAATGGACGTGCCATGGGACGTGCCACGGGACGCGCCGCGCGACGTGCCAGGGGGACTCGCCACGGGACGCGCCACGGAACGTGCCAAGGAGCATGCTAGGTTGCAATGCTGAGTGTACCGATCTTGATGTACCGTGCCGAAGGCTGTGCTGTGCTGCGCCGTGCTGAACTGAAATGCGCCATGCCACGATTATGCTCCATCGAGCCCTCCTTTGCATCCGGGCCCTGACCGAACTGATCTGGATCTTAAGCTCAAGCTACCTGAGCACATAGTAGCTGCCCAAGAGTTCTTCGACAGGGGAACATGCCAGGATGACGCGCCGCGGAACGTCCCAAGGAACGCGCCAGGCGACGTGCCAGGAGACGTGCCATGGGGACGCACCGCGGGACGTGCCAAGGGGACGCGATACGGAACGTGCCCATGGACGTGCGACCTCATGCTAGACATCCGCCTGGGCGAACTGGACACGTGAAACCAAGTGGTTCGCTTGAGACATCCTCAACACACCTGGGGGGCCCATGGTAGATACCCCCTGGGTGGCCTGGACACGTTAAAGCATCTGGCTCCGCCATATTACATACCCCCTGGGCGGCCTGGACACGTTACACAACATGGTTCCAATTCGGGAAAATCGTACTAGATACCCCCTATGGGTGGCCTGGATACGTAAACACGCGTGGGACCAGCTCTGAGCAACCATGTTAGATACACCCCTGGGTGGCCTGGACACGTTAAAAGCATGGTCCTTGCTCGAAGCAAGAATGTTAGATATCCCCCTGGGTGCCTGGGCACGTGGCCCTTGCTCGGGACAATCGTGTTCGATATCCCCCAGAAGTGGCCTGGACACGTAAGAACACGTGGTGCCAGCTCGGGGCAACCATGCTAGATATATCCCTGGGTGGCCTGGACACGTTAAACACGTGGTTCCAGCTCGGGACAACCATGTTAGATGCCCCCATACGTGGCCTGGATACGCTGAATCCGCGATCCCGCTTGAGACATCCTCGCAAAGTCTTCCCTGGAGAGGCCCAAAGCGCCACCCCCCGGTCCAGAGCAAGAAAACATCACGTTTCTGTGTTGGGATATGGGTTCGGGTAGCGCTTTTCGGCCCCCCGTGCGGTTCCTAATAATTCGGCGTTGGGCCCGACGCCATGTTAGATACCCCCTGGGCGGCCTGGACACGTAAGAACACGCGGTTCCAGTTCGGGACAGCCATGTCAAATACCCGGCTGGGGGGCCTGGACACGTAAAAACACGTGGATCCAGCTCTGGGCAACCATGTTAGATACCCCCCTGCGTGGCCTGGACACGTAAAAACACGTGGTGCCAGCTTGGGACAACCACGTAAGATACATCCCTGGGTGGCCTGGACAAGTAATTAGCCTGGCGAAGGACCCAACCATATGCAGTTGTGACTACCGCAATTGTGAATACCATCGTCGCCCGCGCTCCCTATGTGTCCACGGCTTCCCGCCGGAGCCCGACATGCTCAGGGACACGTTCGTGGCCGTCTTCGCGTACGCCGACGACGACAAGGACGGCGTCCCTCTGACCGAGGAGCAGAAGCAGGAGAGGGCCTTGAGAGCCATGAGGGAGGAGGTGGCGTTGCACGTCGACAAGGCGGAGTACGACGCCCAGGCGCGGTTGTTGAAGCAGCACAACTATGGGGCTACGATCCTCGTGAGGGATGTGCCGCAATCGCCCGGGGCCGCCATGCGAACCCTGCCACTGGCGCTTTCGGTGGAGCTCCAGTGGGGCCACGGTCCTCGTGAGGGGTGTGCCGAAATGGCCCGAGGCCGCCATGCGAACCCTGCCACTGGGGCCTTCGGTGGAGCTCCCTATGGGGCCACGATCCTCGTGAGGGGTGTGCCGAAATGGCCCGAGGCCACCATGCGAACCCTGCCACTGGCGCCTTCGGTGGAGCTCCCTTATGGGGCCACGATCCTCATGAGGGGTGTGCCGAAATGGCCCGAGGCCACCATGCGAACCCTGCCACTGGCGCCTTCGGTGGAGCTCCCTATGGGGCCACGATCCTCGTGAGGGGTGTGCCGAAATGGCCCGAGGCCGCCATGCGAACCCTGCCACTGGGGGCCTTCGGTGGAGCTCCCTATGGGGCCACGATCCTCGTGAGGGGTGTGCCGAAATGGCCCGAGGCCGCCATGCGAACCCTGCCACTGGGGCCTTCGGTGGAGCTCCCTATGGGGCCACGATCCTCGTGAGGGGTGTGCCGAAATGGCCCGAGGCCGCCATGCGAACCCTGCCACTGGGGCCCTTCGGTGGAGCTCCCTATGGGGCCACGATCCTCGAGAGGGGTGTGCCGAAATGGCCCGAGGCCGCCATGCGAACCCTGCCACTGTCGCCTTCGGTGGAGCTCCCTATGGGGCCACGCTCCTCGTGAGGGGTGTGCCGAAATAGCCCGAGGCCGCCATGCGAACCCTGCCACTGGCGCCTTCGGTGGAGCTCCCTATGGGGCCACGATCCTCGTGAGGGGTGTGCCGAAATGGCCCGAGGCCGCCATGCGAACCCTGCCACTGGAGCCTTCGGTGGAGCTCCCTATGGGGCCACGCTCCTCGTGAGGGGTGTGCCGAAATGGCCCGAGGCCGCCATGCGAACCCTGCCACTGGGGCCTTCGGTGGAGCTCCCTATGGGGCCACGAAACGTTGTACTGGGTGGGTGAAACGCAGGGAGGAAGGAGGAGGAGAAGGAGGAGGGAGGAGGGCAGCGGGAGGAAGAAAGGAAGGAGTGACGCGGGGCGCTGTCTCTTCAAAACGAGGACCCAACACCACAGGATGGTTGGGAAAAACACGTGGTTCCAGCTCGGGACAACCATGTTAGATACCCCCCTGCGTGTCCTGGATACGCTGAATTCGCGCTCCCGCTCGAGACATCCTCGCAATGTCTTCCCTGGAGAGGCCCCCAAAGCGTCACCCCCTGTCCAGAGCAAGAAAACATCACGTTTCTGTATTGGGATATGGGTTCGGGTAGCGCTTTTCGGCCCCCTGTGCGGTTCCTGGTAATTCCGCGTTGGGCCCGACGCCATGTTGGATACCCCCTGGGCGGCCTGGACACGTAAAAACACTGGGTGCCAGTTCGGGACAATCACTTTAGATACCTCCTGGCCGACCTGGGCACGTGAAAACAAGCATTTCGCCTGAAACATTCTCTGAATTCTGGCCCCCCACGAGGCCCCCGCTCGAGACATCCCCCAACTCTGCAAAACCATCGTTTCGCCTGAGACATCCTCAACAAACTCATATGAAACAGCCCTCTCGCTAGGGACATCCTCAACTATTTAATTCGCCGGCCCTACGCGACCATATTGTTTATCGAAGAATAAGTTCGCCAGCCCTACAGCAGTCGGGTCCGGGGGGGACAACCAAAAGAGAACCCTGGGCAGATGCCCTTTCCGGGAAAGGCGGGTGAGTTTCGACAATAAGTCAGCACGAGCCTCTGCTCGCGGTGGAAGCCACATCGTTCACTGTTTGCCCGTGTTCCTGGACGCGAGTACGGACTGCCTCTGCCGCGCTATGGCGCAACATGATCGACCCACGAACCCGGAAAGGAATATAGAAATGTAAGGCATGGCAACATTTCAAAGACACCTGATTGGGCGACGGGCAAATGCAATGCTGAGTGTATCGATCTTGATGTATTGTACCGAGGGTTGTGCTGTGCTGCGTCGTGCTGAATCGCGATGTGCCATGCCGCGATTGTGCTCTATCGCGTTGTGGATCGAGTTCTCCGTTGCATCTGAGTCCTGACCGAACTGATCTGGATCTTGAGCTCGAGCTGCCTGAGCACATAGTACCTGCCCACACGCTACGGAACATGCCAATGGACGTGCCACGGGACGTGCCAGGGAACGCGCCGCGCGACGTGCCAGGGGGACTCGCCACGGGACGCGCCACGGAACGTGCCAAGTTGCAATGCTGAAAACATCGATCTTGATGTACCGTGCCGAGGGCTGTGCTGTGCTGCGCCGTGCTGAACTACGATGTGCCATGCCGCGATTGTGGTTCGAGTCCTCCTTGTGCATCCGAGTCCTGACCGAACTGATTTGGATCTTAAGTTCAA